TGAAATCGTCCTACATCTCTATCTATTATTAATTTACCTTTCTCTCTGATGATTTAAGCTCTCAAGAACTACCACATTCGTTCTAAATTTCGGCCACAATAAATGTACTTTCTTCTTAGAAGGCAATGCCTAACGCCTTCTGTGGAGTTATCCTGCTCCCAGATCCCTAGTGGCCTGATGTTGAATCCAGCTCTCTACTTTCCCCCTCCCCCACCGTCGCCGCCCTTGGTACGCAGAGGTGTGAGGTCTCCATCGAACGTTTGATCAAATTGCTGCCACAGGGGTAGGTATCATTCACGGTCGTACTATTATTATCCTTTCTTCTTATGTCGATCATCATGACGTTGATGCTTTGGAAATGGGGACTTTGTACGGGCTTTGCTATCCATCCACGATTCCTGCTGGCAATTGCTTATCCTACTCTACTCCTCGGTCATATACAGAATGAGAATGCCATTATCACCTCGGTCTGTCAAAGCTTCTTCTTCTGATTTTGGTCATTGGTTACTAGGGGCGCTGCCCGAACACATTAGACCTGGGGACTACCGATGCCAGTGGATCTGAACTCTCCTCTCTACGCTGATCCCTGAACTCCCTAGTTATGCCGTGCCTTCCAATGATGATTTGAAGCTAGCGACGACGTCTTCCTCTCGTCTGCTATGACTCGGAAAACCCTGTTCCCGGATCTTTGACACACTCCACTCTCTACAGAACTTAAACTCGAGATATTATCAAGACCTTACAATAATAAGGCATGTATGTCGAGAGCTAGCACAGCTTACGCACGCTCCTTGATAACCTTCCTAGGAGTTGGGGCCAGGCCCTTCATATCAGCAATTGGCTTCCCGATACTTCTCTGAAGACATTGACCGTACAATAGGGTTTCGCAACGCCGCCACCAAAGGGGTTGAATTGTCGTCGGCCACTCAAGTTAATCTCAGGGGCTAACAAGAATTTCAATTTGTGTTCACCGATTCGAGTCCATCTATTTGGTTTGGTGACAACCATGGTCCGGGCATTGCTCGAGCCACCTTGAGCATCCCTGAGGCCACAAAACCCCTGTTTATTGGCAGGGTTTGATGTAAAATCTCCCTCTTCTCCCGGATGTTCAAGTATTGCTAATGAATCTATCGTGTTCAGCGGCTTAAAGTCGTATCACTCGGGGTCGGTGAATTGATCAACCATCCTCATACCGCTCCTGAGCGTCCTTCCCAAGGGATGGATTTTTTTCATGCCTATTCTCATTTATGGATACCCTCTATCCCAACTTATGAAGTCCTGGAAATTATTACGCTTCAGCCACCTGCACCCTCTTCCAGTCGCACTTTGAGCCACTGGTCATCGTCGACTTCGGGGCCCCCGGTGGCTAGCTTCTGAGTTCCCTTGTACGGCTCGTGTGTTATTTAACACAATATACACACATCCTCTGATGGGATTCGAAATGATATATGCTAACGGAAAGTCCTTACAATTTGGATCCAACGGCGGCTACGAGCTCTCATTTCTAATCGATGGTCCGAGGGCGGACGGATCAACAGAATTCGCATTCTAGACGACAGCCACGAGGACTACCTCTTCAACGACTTACCGGGAAACAATGGCCCGGATAGTAGGCGTATTGATCGCCACTTGTCTGGACTACAGGGCTACCTACGCTATTCAGTGCCGCAGTGTCCTAGTAGTGCTAATTCTGACCCAGGTATCAGAGCTGCACAGCAACATTCGCTACAATACCCCTTTGATTAAATGCAGATATTCATCCAATCTCGGAACCGCCACCTGGCAATGCTATCACCGGCTTTATCGGTGTGCAGTCGGTAAGTACTGCATTTCTTCAGCAAGCGCAAGATATAATCTAACGAAAGGAAAAATTAGCCTTGCCAAGATATCTTCATCCGATTAGGTATCCAACATCAACCGTGTGACCAACCAGCGTGTGAACCTTGCGGATAAAGATAGAGGCGTCCACGTATCTTATACGATATCCAAAGATGAATTACGGTACGACGATGAATTCTCCGAATCCATCGGAGGCCCTAATAGTTACAAGACTTATGCACACTTGAAAGGCTTGCGGCGTATTCAGGCATCCACAGGGATCGAAGGTCGAAGTAGGAGCCCCAAGCGCTTATCCGGCTTGAAGTTCGATTACTATGGCGCACCTTCAGCTATAGTAAGACAGTGGATGGATGACGATGATGTTTTTGAGCTCTCTGCAGACGAGAACATTCAATCCATAACGGTCTGGTTAACTACAATCCAAATCGCTCGCCTGGCATCCCATTGGCCATTGGCGACAAGGTCAAGTCCCAGCCGTACGGTTCGAGGCGACCTCTGCGCGCGAACTGTGATGTTTCAGTCTTCAGAAGTGGATTCCTTTTCATCGAATGACATGCAGATCCAATATCAAAGAGGACCTAATCAAGATCTTGCCAGTACTCTAGCTTACTCAGTAGATTTTTTTTCACCCTAACATTGCTTTAGACAGGCATTTCTTGGGTCTTGAATTCATCATATGTTCGAGTCCGTGCCGTCATTTTAGAGAAAACAGCTAGAACCTTGAGCGTGATCCCGGGGCACTTCTTGCCGTTTGACCAAGCGCAGAAAATCTACTTTCAAAGAAAAGCAGAAGTCGGCCACAGGACCAGATCATCACTGCCCATGGCTACTTCCACGACAACTCGTTTCTTGGTCTTGTATTCCGCTATGGCATCTGGGACAATGGGGCGAGCAGGCGATATTGACATGGTTGCTGATGCGCATCAAACTCTTGAATCTCCGCCTGTCTCCCAGGTCGTTGGTATGTTTGTTGGAATTAGACGTCATCACATTCAGAGTCTGAAGGTAAGAAGATCTTGACTTTTTTTCACTCCTCTTCAAATGCTACTATTACTCATGCCTCCCTGTTAATCAGTGCAAAACTCTGGAGTTTGCAGTGAAGCCTTCGGACGAGCAGGATGTGCCTTTCGGAAAGACATGCATATTGTTTAAAGACAAGGCGTCAGCGGCAGATTACACACCAATATCCCATACGGAATTGGTATATGGACCCCCAAAGGAGGTGAGATCTGTTGGTATTTATGTCAGCTGTCAGGCTATACGAGTCCGAGGGTGATGCAGTGAAGTTAACGCTAGCTCTTCAACTTCATCATAGTCTCATAAGCTCTCTGGCTAAGAGGTAGAAGAGCGTATCTCTATTGCAAGCTCATTCAAAACACTTTCATTATATTGTCATTCAGAATGCGTTGACTCTGCTGTCACGTCTACTCAGCGCCGTCATATTAACAAGTTAAATAATTATCATGATCACAGCCTGTCAGGCCCCGGGACTCTTACCACCTAGGTTCAATAAACTTTTATGAGACAGCTGGCTTCTTGCCAGTGCCTGGCACCCACCTATATAGTAGTGGCACGCCTGCGTCTGCGCCTGCCCCCAACCCCTGAGACAGATTTTCAAACATCAAACAATTGTGGAAGAAAATTTTATTTTTTATTTTTAACTTTTCAGCTGCCATCGTGATGTATTTGCTCAAAATCTGGGGTTTCAGAGAGCACGACTTGTTTAATTCCTTGAACAGAAAAAGTTCTTTTTTATTTTAATGCTGAGGTTGAATCAGACTCTACATCACACCACACCAGCAGTCACTCACTGGTGATCTCAATCAACTTCTTCTTCTTAGTGCACTAGACATTTCCTATGTCAAATGCGCCACCAACGAAGAAAGCCAAAATAAACTTTCATCAAGGGAGGTAAGTAGGTGCCAGGCGCAGATGCAGGCCGGGGCCATCAATGAAGGTTTCTCCAGACGCCAGGTTCGCTTAATTTATGTATGAATCAATGATCGCTCACAAGTTGTCAAGACTGGCCAGGAAGAACTTGCCTAATGATTCATGCATGACTCATCATCCATGAGACTTTGAATTTACCTTTTTTTTTATTTATGCTCAGTTGCATGAACTTCTGCGTCCTGGAACCTGGAAGCATGTGGTTGAAGTGTTCGTTGGGCTGGAGGCTCCCCCTTCAAACGATTCAAACCAGGCTAGCACAAAGTCAAATCCAAGCTAGGGATTCAAAGTTCGAAGAACAGAAGCCGAACGAACTTCTTGATGCGGAGAAATGGAATAATAATACATAGGACATAGGACATAGCAATAATAACTAGGACATAGCATAGGGTTCACAGACTTCACGACAAGTCCATTTCCATTCTGATGAACATTGATCTAAATTGCTGACTGAGAACAGATTTTGATCAAGAAAGTGATCGTGTTTCCTGAAGAAAATCCCCGCCGAGTCTGATGTCCGTCCGCCTCCTCCTCCTCCTCCTCCTCCTCCCCCCCCCCCCCCTTTTTTCTAATAATATATAATTCATCAGCTCTCCCGGAGTCTGGGGACAGTGGAGTGGTGGAGTGGGGAGGAAATCAGATGGGGTCAAACCTTGAATCCCCACATCTCTCCGCCTCTCTGGCTCTTAGCTCTCTTTTTTACTGAGCTAAACCTTTCAGACGCGTTCTGGTGCTGCGTTCTGGCCTCTTACTTTTGAGGTTTGATAGTTGCTCGTTAAAACCTACTCAAATCATCACATCGGACTCAGCATCAACAAAGTTTAAAAAAGAAAAATGGGTTCGACCCTCTTTTTCTTGAGTATTTGTACTGCCGTTATGGACTATATTTTTCACAAAATCCAACTGTTGCTGGGTATTTTCAAAAGCGTCTGCCTTCGTTGGAAACGCCAACATCGCTGGCTACGACTCGTGAACGAGGGAAATCCTATTCTAGGGGAGTGCTTTCGCCTTTGCCTCTTGCACACGGTGCCTCCGCTAACCCCCTCATATGCGTCTGCTGAATTGGACAACTGGGATTGAAATTCACGACCTGCTACTCGTACGCCTGCGACATCAACTCTTGGTCTTCCTGCTCTCCGGCGCTGTGAACTCGTGAGGAGGTAGACCTGTATTTTGAGTGCGAATTCGGCTCTGATGGTGAGCCTGTTCCAAGCATGGCTAACTTCGGGCCGACGGCCCCCGGGCATGAGAACAGAGGATGGAGGCTATTTGTCGTTACAGTAGTGATGATCATCGTGTCTGGCTTCTTTGTCGTCGTTCGACTTTCCGCGAGATATATTCGGAATGGAATTAGGGTGGATGACTGGGTAATCGTGGCAGCGTTGGTAGGTCAACGCCGCGGTGTCTTTGGCGCCTGCTTGAAATGGGACGTTTCTAACGAGATCACAGGCTGCTGCCGTCGGATTTTCTATCGCTCATGTCCTAGGTCAGTTGCGTGTATGTGCTCGAAAGAACCGATTTATGGGTGCTTACGAAAATTTTCAACCTAGCGGTGCAACACGGGTTCGGTAGACACGAGCATGAGCTCACCCCCCAGGAAAGGATCGATGCATTAATAGTAATCTCTCTCCAAAAAACTTCATTTTGCTGGTTTCGCCACTAACTTTGATTACCCAGTGGATCTTCGTTGCTCAAGTGTTATACAAGGTGATCCTATGCCTTACGAAAACGTCGATTGTATTGCTCTACCTCCGAGTCTTTTACGCCCAGAAGTCATTCCGCTGGACTTGCTATGTCCTTATCGCATTCAACATAGTATCGGGAATTGCATTTATCCCACCCACTATCTGGCAGTGTTCGCCCGTGCATGCGTTTTGGGATCGCTCAGTGCCACATCGATGTATCAAAAATCTTGCTAACTGGCTATCATACGCGCTGATCAATATTTTGACCGACGTGGCGATCTTGATCCTGCCGATACGGCAAGTCATGCACCTCCAGTTGAGAAGGAATGACAAAATCGCCGTTATTTTTGTTTTTGCTCTTGGCGGGTTGTAAGGAGATCCACCCCCCTTTTAATATATTCGATTGAGGGAGCGAAAATTGTTCAGGACTGACGGGATAACCGCAGCGTTTGCATCACAAGCATCATTCGTACCACAGTCATCGCAAGAGGGTCGGAAGTATATGATGTAACATGTTAGTGTGCCACTACTCATTTTCTCCTCTTTCCTCAGCTTTATCACCAACAAAAGCCACTCAGTCATAAATTAACCCTCATCTAACCTAACCTCAGGGAGCCCGATCCCCGTCTCGATATGGAGCACCATCGAAACAAACACAGGCATAATCTGCGCCTGCCTGCCTATGATCCGACAACCGCTCTCGATACTCTTCCCGAGCCTCTTCTCCAGTTCAGAGCGCAGCGGATCAAAACAACCCAGCAGCCGAGCCAACAACTTGAGGAACCGGAGTCAAGGTCGCCGAACAGGCGAGCATTCGATCCCTACGAACTCGAGCACACCGTGGGCCCGCCATAGCCGCGAGGAACCCGTATACATGACGGCCATCAAGCCCCGCAAAGACGGAATTCCAAATCGGACTGAAAGCGAAGAGAGTATGATATATGTCCACGAGATCTCTGTTTGAATAGACATTTCTAGCTAGCTAGCTGCCTCTCTATCTACAGTCGCTATGCTTTCTTCGCTCCGCTAATTCTAGCAGTGCTGTAAGCACTGCTCCACATCTAGAAGGGGGTGTGGGGGGGACGCCTGTTAAATAAAATATATAGGATTGAACATAATTGCGGAAAACCTACTATAATCTCAGTGCTATTATGTTACATCTAAGTACAATTTTGTTTCTTTTTCTGGTTCCAATTGTTAAGAAATTCATAGCAACGGTTACCATACCGGAAAAACGTAGGCTTATTATACGACCGGGTTATGGTTGTTCCGCTGTGCCAGTCACCGACACCGTCACTGAACTGTAAATCTTAATATAATGGTGGATAAGCGATGGAATCATTATAAACAAGTTATGAACAGGAAAAAATTATCATTGTATTGACAATGTCACTGATTCCTATCTACATAATCACTAATTCTAAAAAACATCTCATTCATTGAAATTGTTTAGACTGGCCGGCGGGACCATGAATTTCACATTTGATCCCATTTGGTCTGGTCTCATACATTTCTTGGCATGAGTCCCACCAGGACCAAGCCTCAAAAAAATCTGAAAATGGACCATTTCTGAGAGAAATGGTGTGAAAAATGACCAGATTTAATTCAAGAACAGTGAAATGAGAGTAATTTCTCAGAATAAACTATGAAAGATGATCATTCTTTCAAAATCAGAATGAAACTGAGACTGAAGATTAAAATCAGTCTCATTCAGTTCATTCAGTAATTGCTTATATAATCAGAATTTAGTAACAATTATTGATAATGCTCATGAAACAACTAAATACATTCTTATACAAGTTTATTCTTCACTTTCTCATGAAAACTACACTTCTCTGATATACTGTGATCAGAGATATTAAACTGTCTGATAATTTCATATTTTATAATTATGAGTTTCTTGATTGTTTCTTCTTATAATTGTTCTCAGTGATAGTGATAAATATCTTAACTTGAGTTAAACTTTCACTTCATTTTCATCTCTGTCAATGAAATTATCAGAATATCACATGTCATCAGTACAATAGTTGAATATATACTCTCAATAATCTTTTATAACTTTAGAATTGATTTGATGTATAAATTTATCAGATTATCTTGAAAATAGCAGTCAAATTCAGTTTTATAAGTATATAGTTTTATCTGATTTTCAGTTGTAATCAATGTATGCAAGTTCTGTTTCAAAGTTAGTATTATAGTTCCATATAATATAAAGTGTTATTAAAGATCATTACTTACTAGGAAATTGTATTTCACTGTCTTCATATCTTGAATATCTGCTCATTCAAATCTCTGATAGTTGACATTGTAGTAGTCTTAGATTAATTTAATATACAAGTCTCATTTCTTCTCTGTTCAATCTTGAGAAGTGTAAATATTAACTCAACAGAAGAGATCTAGTAGAGCTGCTATAGTATAGTACTCTGTAAAAGATTGTTCAGTTTTACTGTAGTAATATACTAGTTTATTCCTTGCAGTAATAATAGCCTGTGCTATAGCATTATCTCAGACTGAATTTCTTTTTAAGTGATTCAACTGCTTCTTAAGATGTAAGAATAAGTGCTCACAGGCAATTATTCAGGTGTTTGCAGCTTGGCGTGATATGTACTGTTAACTACTAGAAGTATTCATGATAGAAATATAAAATGTAGAGATTAAATATATAATAGCATTTAAGCTGAGTTATGAATAGTATTCACAAACTTCAGTCTATATAGTTATGTGTAGTTAAGAGCTGCTAGCTCTATTAGTTATATGAGAGATAGAAATAGAGATAAAGAATCTGTAAGAAGCAGGATTTCTTACATACTCTTCTCTCTCTAAGACTTTATTCATGAAGTCTTTCACTGAGTGACTTCATAGAATCAGCTCAGTACTGCAGTGATACTCACTAAAAACTCTTCATATCTATAAAAAACCTTAGTGAGGAAAAATCCCTTGTTACTGTGAAGAGAAAAGAGTCTGTCACTCAGTTTCTTATTCTGTAAGATTCTTTATAATCTACAGATTCTTCTCTAACTATCACACAGATTCATCTCACATCTTTTATATAGAAGAGTTCTGGTTAACTCTCAATCATTTTCATAAGATTCTTGTATAATCATTATACAGATTCATCTTACAGATGAATCACTCTCTGTGAGATCATTCTCATCAAAGAGAAGCATTTATAAGTTAATCTTTCACTTATTCTTATAAATCATTGTTCTTTGACACTGTAGAATTGTGAGGAATTTTTCATTCTTTCATCAACTCTATAGAATTGTAGAATCAAGATATCTGCAGTCTGCAATCACTCTTTGTAGTTATATAGAAAGATTCAGATCTGTGATTCACAATCACTCTTATTTGCTAGAGTGATCTGACTATTTCACAGAATTACTCACAGTGTAAGCAAATCTCTTTAGAGTAGTATAAATATCTCAGATCTGTCTGTGAAATCTCATCTTCTTTTCTCTTTTTCTGTAACAGCTTTTATTTTTATAAACTGTGAGTATTCTCATTCATCTGCAAAGTGTTTTCACTCAGATAATAGAGAGAGAGTGTTTCTGACAATATCTGTGTATTGATTCAAGAACTTCTCAAGAATAAAAATTTTTTTCAATTTTAATATCTTCATAAATGATGTCTGACTGCTGCTGAGCTTCTTATGAGTGTTCTCATGACTTCTCTGATTGCTTTTTGCCAGCTGGTGAAGCAGGGATGCTGTCACTCATAACTGTGCCTTCATCTCTTTCAGCCCTGTCACTGCATCCGATCTTCAGGTCAGTGGTCAACCCCATGCCTTCTTCAGGCCAGTTCCTGGCTTCAAGCAGTGCAGTTCTCCTCTTTGCTGTAAGTCTTCTTATAAGTAATTTCTTACAGACTCTAGCTGACAGTTCTTACAAAGCTTCTGATATTGCCAGTGTCTTCTGCGGCCCTGCAGGCCTATGATCACCCTTCTTCTGTCTGCACAATCTCTGATCAGGTATATGTGAATATGCCTAGATTCTCTATCAATGGTCCTCGCGCTGTGGCGCATTTCCACAATCTCATTGTCAATGAGAGATGAGTCCCCAGGTACCTGCAAAATCTGAGTAATCAAGGCAATGTAAATGTCATGAATTCATGACAGAAGTTGATCTGAGCAGATGAGTCTTCTCTTCACATCTCAATTGTTTCTGAGCTGAATACTTCAGCACAACTGAGGAAGCAGACACAGCTTTATAAGAAGTATCTGATCACATATACAGATAGTCAGTCTTCAAGACTCTGTCACAACTGTGCATGTTCTGATGTCTGACTTCTCTGAAGTCTGTGCATTTCTGACAGTCTTTGTATCAAATGCAACAATTATCTGTACTACAGACATAATACTCTCTACTTCTTTGAAGAGAAAAATTGATAGTTGTGAGAGAATTGAGTGTTACAGATATTGAGAATGTGAGTGTGAGTTTTCTTTGTTTTTTCTTTATTAATCTCTAAATTGTGTTTGCAGCTCTGTTTATTTTCTTGTTTTTTTTTTTTTTAGCTTTAATGAGAATATGATTTCTTCTTCTCTTGTGTACACTGCAGACTGTTCATCTCAGTAGAAACTCATTATCTTATAGACTAGAGTTTACAAATGATAGTATTAATATCTTTATCACAATCAGATTCTTAGTGAAGACTGCATATGTCTTAGCTTCTGCAGATGTCTTATCTACTCAGATGATTTTCAAGTGAACTCATTCATCTTGTTAGAATACTCTTATCACTGAATCTTGAATCAGAGCTTATAATCTCACTTCTCTAAGTTAATAATCTCTTTGACCTGATATTCTCTTTCACTCTCTAGTACTTCACAGACAGAGTGATGAGTCACAGAATTCTCTTCTGAGAATTCCTTGTATTCACAGAGTAAAGAGACATGAAAAACATTGTATATCTGCAACTTAGATGACAGTTTCAATCTGTAGAACTGTGAGCTAACTTTCTTCATAATCTTACAAGACTCTGTTTATAAGAGATTCAGCTTCTTACTAGATCTCTGCATGATGATGTTTTCTAGACTCAGTCAGACTTTATCATCTTTCTTGAAACTCTTTGCAATGTGCTTGAAGTTATAGTATCTCTTCTGATACTCTTAAGTCTTTCTCAAGAATTTATGAGCTTTCTCCTGAATCTTCTGAATTCTCTCAGCCTGTTCACAGGTATTATCACACTCTATAGTGTACTCTCATGAGTTCATCAAGATTATCTGCAGATGAGTCTTAGTGAGCATCTCAAAGAGAGTTTTATCTGTGCTGACATGCTTTAAGTTGTTGTACATAAACTCTGTGAGTGATAATCAATGCACTCAGTTATTCTGATTGTAATTGACAAAGCACTGCAGATACTGTTTCAATATACTCATTAGATATTCTATCTGATTATCTGTCTGTTGATGAAAAGTCATACTTAGATCTCACAAGATCTTCAGTATAGTTATCAGATCAGATCAGAACTCTTCTGTAAAGATTAATTCTCTGTCTGAGACAATGTTCACAGATAATTCATACAACTGAATCATATTGTGAATAAAGATATAAGTCAAATTCTTTGACTTCAAGTTCTTGTAAGTGAGTATAAAGTGTATCATCTTGATGAAGTGATTCACTATCACTAGTACACTGTCAAAGCAGGTATCATATATGTTCTTGCTTTCAGAGAGGCTTACAAGAGCATTCATTTCTAGCTGTTCTCAAGATTCCCGCGGGATGAGTAGAGAAGTAAGTTCTTTATATGATCTGAACTGCACTATCTGTGAATTCTGATAAACAGTATAAGAATTCACTATCTTCTTCACAAGTTCTTGCATCTTCAGTCAGAAGTATTTTCTTATAAGCAACTCATGAGTTCTAGTGTCTGTAAAATGACCTGCTAGAGAAGAGTCATAATGTCTTTTAATAAGTTCTACACATAGAAACTCATTCATGAGCACATAAATTCAGCTCTCTCTTCACAAGAGGTTATTTAAGTCTCTTCAATTCTTTGTTTCTGCAGGATTGATCCCTGTCACAAGCAGTTTCTGAATATGCTGAGTATATTCATTCTTCAGTTACAGTTCAGACAATCTGAATAGAAGATCTTATGAAAACTTATACTCTGTTTTCTCTTGCATCAGGTTTTTCACAGCACTTCTCAAAGCTCACAAACTCTTCAGATTATAGATACTCTCTTCAAGAATTCTCATGAAGATCTTCAGAGTGTTAACTCTCAGTGTCATAGAGAGTAGTTGTGCAGGCTTCTTCTCTCTCTTCTCTCTCTTCTCTCACAGGGAATTGAGAGACTCTTCAGTCAATCTCTTCACAACACTCAGTCTGAGTATTCTGTGAAGCTTTTCTACCTTCTCTAGTCTCTCTGTGTCTGTCACCCTGGTCTTCTTAACATAGTCTGGCCTGTGAGAGAGTTCATCTGCTGAGTTCTTAGTTCTCTTGATATATTCTATCTTGAATCAGAACTCACTCAGTCTCTGAGCTCAGTGAATCTGTCACTGTAAGAGTTTCTTGATTGAAGCAAACTGTTATAAGCTGTCATGATCAGTTCTAATAGTAATCACTGTCATGAGGCTCTCAAAGTAGTGATATTAGTGATGAAAGAATTTCACTATTATAAGAAGCTTCTGATCATGAATGTTATAGTTGATCTCTGTGAGTTGTATCTTTCATGAGAAAAAGGCCACTGAAACTCAGTTCTCATTTGACTGTAGTTGTAAGACTATTTCTGAAATTGCAAAGAAGAAGACATCTGTCTTCAATCTGATTAAGAGTAAGAAATCAAAGTGAAACAGTATCACTGTGTCTGTGAATATCTGTTTCAATCTTATAAAGGCTCTGTAAGCTTCTGAGATAAGAAAGTTCTTGCAGTTCTCTCTTCTCAACAATCTTTTCATTCTCTATTCATGAAATGACTTCTTCTTGTTTTCATTCTTCAGCATGTCTGTAAGAGTCAAGAAGATCCTTGCAAACACAAAGATAAACTACCTGTAGAAATTCACAAAGCTCAGAAAGATCTGAATCTCATGAATACTAGTTAACTCTGATTATAATAGAATGATCTTAACTTACAAAGATTTCATCTGAATATCATCTGCAGTGATTATATATTCTAGGAAATTAATCTGACAGATACTGAAGTTGTACTTTACAAGCTTAATATACAGTTCTGTCTTATCTAAGACCTTCAACACACTTCATATATGCTCAGTGTGTTCTTTCTTCTTCATAAAGTACACCACCACATCATTCAGATATATTATCATGAAGATATTCAGATATGCATGAAGTATTTTATTGATGAAAGACTGAAATGCTATGAGAGTATTAGTCAGATCAAAAGACATCACTAGATATTTAAATAATCTCAGTGCAGTTATAAAGACAGTCTTTCATTCATCTCTAGACTGTATTCACAGCTGTGTATATACATTGATCACATTCAGTTGTGTGAATATAACAGCTCTCATAAGACAGTTGATCACATTCTCAATCAGAGACAGAGAATAGCAGCTCTTTATTATCTTGAAGTTCAGATTGCAGTAGTCTACACACAATCTGAGATCTTCATTCTTCTTCTTCATGAACATCACAGAGGCTCCTGCAGAGGCCTGTGAAGATTGAATGAAGTCATTCTTCAGATTCTTCTTCACATAGGCCTGCAAGGCCTCTGTCTTATAATGAGAGAGCTTATAGATTGATTCTCAGAAGGGTTTCTGCCCTTCTATCAAATCTATTATCAGATTCTTCTTGTAATGAGAAGAAAGCTCAGCTGCCTTTGCTGAGCTGAATATCTCTGTGAGATCTCAGTATTTCTCTGATATCTGAAGCTCAGTTTTCATGACTGTGAGATTCTCAGACACTTATAAAGTCATTATATAGATGAGCTTGTCTTCTCTAATCAACTCTGCAGCATCAACTGATTCTATCTCTGTGAGTGAGTCTGTCAACACTGATTAAAAGTATAAACCTGACTCATAGACAGCTATGTACAGATTGTGTCTTTGAAGTTATATAAGTCTCAAGTACATATCATCTGTGATGTCTGTGATAATCACAGTTTCTGCAAATCTTCTTCAGGTTTCAGAGAGATCTTGCAATTCAAAGATGACTCTTATGAGTCTCTCAGTTCTCAGGTCTGAGTTCTCGCGCCCTGCTTATTGTAAGAGCAGATTCTCAGTTTTCATCTTTCAGCTCATTCACTCTGTGAGCTTTAGAGACACTACAGTGACCTGAGATCCTGAGTTCATCAATACTTTTCATGCTTGTGAGACAGCAGCACCGCAGCACAGTCTCTTCTCACAAGCAAGTATTTTCATTGAGAGAGCAACAGATTCAGGTGTCAGCTTCAAGACTCTTAAGAAGGCTGTTACTGACTCTGTCTGTGACTTCTCAAATTCCTATTTTAATTTGTCTGAACAGTTTGTGCAGAGATATTCTGATTTAGAACAGATGAAGTAGAGTCTCTTTTTCTTAATCTCTCTGTTATACACTCTGTTCACAGAAGCTTGTGAAGCTCTTTCTCTCTGCTCAGCAGTCAGACATAAATCTCTCTGTGTCTTATCATCTTTTTCTGACTAATCTGTTCTCTGTTATCCTGGCCCTTGCAGGGCCAGTCAGTGATTCACTCTTCACAGATCTGTGGCTCTCACAGTGATTCACAAGCAGTGAATGAGAGTCATCAGTTCCTTCAGAATTAAGAGCTTAGAGTCTTGCTTAATAAGCTTGTCCTGCATGTCTTTATTCAGTCTCTTTGCAAACATCATCATTCAGGTCTTGTTTCAGAGCCCTGTTTTCACAGGTCTCAATTCACATCACAATTCCATGAAGCACTGTGAGTAGTCTTCATCATATTCCTCACCTCTTTTCCTAATATTGATGATTACAGCTCAGGTGTTCTCTGTTCAGCTCACAGAGTTTCTCAACTTATTCTCTAGATAGGTCTTAAGAACAGATCAGTGAAATCTCTCATGATTATTCTCTAGATGATTCAGTCAGTTCTTGACTTCAGTGTAATAGAGGCCTGTCATTGTATAGATGACAGCTTCTTCATCTT